TGTCCTCTTCTTATCACTATTACACACACATTATACATATATCACTGAGTCCATTTAGTGGTGTTCATGTGTGCTTGTTTTTAGGACTGCCCACTTGGAGTTATATAAACTCTCAGGGAGCTCCTCCCTGGAGAAAACTGATTCTCCCTCCCTCAGCATCCATTGATTGCCTGTAGATCTTCATCTAGGGGTCAGACCCTGTAAAATTTCCTGCATCCACCTTGACATGTCGACTGGTTTTGTCACTATGCAGACAGATCTTGTTATACTACCATACAGTGGACCTTTCATTGGTGCAGCTTCCTTATCAGGTCTAGAACACATTAACTAGCAGCAGGTGTCTTGTCCCTCTGACTCTTACTATCGTCCGGACCCCTCTTCTACAATGTCCCTGAGCCTTCGGTATAGAGGTTGCAAATTTATCACTTAGGGCTGGGCACCTCACAGTCACTTCGGCTCTGTATTTTGACCAGTTGTGGAACTTTGTAATAGTCCCCATCTGTTGCAGAAAGAAGCTTCTTTGATGAGTGGTGAGAGGTGCACTTGTGTCTATGGATTTGGAGCTGGAATCCACAGATTGTTTCTCTGAGTCTGCATTGCCTCACTTGGTATAACAGATTCTAGATCTTAGTGGGGGCAAAGTAGGGGTGAGAATCTGACTTTTTGGTGTACAACTGCTAACCAAGAAACAGGAATATGCTACTGGCAACTCAGAAATTATAGTATTTTATTACATCTGAAGAAGCTGTGGAAAATAAGCACAGAAATGAAAGCAAAGTTGTTCTTTAATGATAAGAAAAAAGAGATTCAAACTTTTACGTGAGAATCATAAAGATTTCTAGAAAGAGATGCTGCAGGGGTGATATAGAGGAAAATATGATTAAGCAAGTACTAGAAAAAAAGCATACCTGCAATGGAAAATAAAGTTTGAGCTGGCAAACTGAAAAAGTTTGTCCTATCCTAGATAAAATCATGAAAACACATGAGAAATGGAGCCATGAGGCAGGGGAATTCCTGGATTCCAGTACTGAAGTGAACAACTTTCAAGACTAGGGAATTTTAGGGGTAGGACTGTAACTCAATTGGTAGAGTGCTTGCCTAAGCATTTGTGAAGCCCTGGGTTCAATCCCCATCATCACATAAACCAGGTGTGATGGTGCACTCCCAACACTCAGGAGGTGGAGGGAAGGGATCAGAAGGTCACAGCCAGTCTGGGATACATGATGCATCTCCATTTTTTAACAAAAATTCTAGAGGGATTTTTTTGTTGTTGTTGTTTTAAAATTACTTACCAAAGAATGAGTGTCAGACTAGCATGAAGCTCTTAACTCACAATCCTAGAAGGCCATAATAATGGCCAGGCCACTGCCACAGAGACTGCAGTCCAGAACTCTCAGTCCCCACAAAGATCAATCACCCATCAGGATAAAAGGACATTGTCTGCTGTGCCGAGACTCAGTGAGTCAATACCAGAAGTCCTCTGACCACTGGGTCAGAATAGAATTCACAAGACAGGAGCAACTGACTGTCTAGACTGGTGGTGTTACTGAAGAGAATATACAACAGTGGTGTAAAGAAAGGATTCAGAGAACAGAAGAGGAGCACTGTGAGAGGGAACTCCACAGTGACACCTTGAAACTAGCTCACCAAGCCCATGCAGGGCCAGGGAAGCACTAACAAGACCAGCAGGAGAGTAGGAAGGGAAGAACACGTACAGGTTATCATGTCAGTGCAGGGAATGGGGGCTAGGCACTTCATATTTATTTCAATACAAAAATGAGTAAATAGGACTGGGTATGTATTGTTTGGCATACACAAGGACCTAGGTTCAATCCCCAGCATTATGTTGATAGATAGATAGATAGATAGATAGATAGATAGATAGATAGATAGATAGAAAGATAGATAGATCCTCAATTATGATCCTCTGAACATGATAATGTTTAGATAAATTGGGGAGCATCATCAACCTTCCAAATTCACCAGAGGTAAAGAGCAGAATTAAAAGGAAGCTTCACATAAAAGAAAAAAGAGAGGATTCAACAACACAGGAAAATTAGCCGTAAGTACATAAACTGTTGAAGAAATGAAATCAAGTACAGGCTTATCATTCTGAGTGAGAATGGCTAACTCATCCATTCAAAGAAATGACTGGCATTTGGATTTTTGTGATGCAGCACAAATTCTGGAATTAGGGGCTCAAAGGGAGGCCTCAGAGGACACTGTCTCCCCACCCAGACCTCTCCAATCCCCATTGGGAGCATTGGGTGCTGGAAACACCAAGGGGCTGTTTCCTCCAAGATGGTGTCAGCATATACAAGTCCCATGCAAACTCAGTCAGACAATAACCCAGTAACTGGAAAAATGAACAGCAGACCTCAATCTGATCTGAAGGAATGTTGGCAAGTGATTGCTGCTGGATGAAGAAGAGCTGATCTTCCTAAAACAAGGGACTCTAGATAGGCTGACTAGATTTGGTGTATGGACTTGCACTACGGAACGGTTGGGTACACTGACAACCCAGTGGGCCTTAAAAGGGATGACCACGTATATGGGTTCCAGCAGTGGGGTGGGGGGTTATGGGAGGGTGCCAATGGGGATGAGGGTATAAAGATGATTAAGATTGTTTGAGCTCTTCTGTATGAAATACACAAAAAAATCAGTAAAAATTGTTTTAATTGAGTAGTAGCACACTGGGGTTCTAATCATGGTTCTGCCACTAATTCTTGTATAACAAACCACTTCGCCTTTCCTGTGCATCTTTCTTCCCCACCGATTGAAGGCAAGAATACCTTCAATCAGTGGCATGAGAATACCTTCACCATGGCATGAGAAAGCCTAGAGTTGGAAGTGTTAGAAGTGTGACAGAGGACCCATAAGTGCTTACTTAACTTTGGTTCTTTGTGTTCATTGCTTTGAAATAGGAGTTTGGGAGATAGATGTACCATGGTAGCATTTCAAATACGATGAATGTTGATGTATTTATCATCACCATTCAGCTACTCTGCCTCAATTTTACCATCTGTCCTTAGAAAAATGGCATTCCAGACAATATAGCTTTCAATGTGATGAGAATACTTAGCACTGGCTTCATTCATTTACCATCTCAGGTGTCTACTGTTCCAGAAATACGATGTATTCATTAGCTTAGTCTGGATCTGTCTTCTACGGAGATAATACCACTGCTTATTCAAGTCTTTGGAGCACAGTGCCACCAACATAACTGCTCTAATGGGTTTGGCATGCTGGAAAGCTTTGAAGCAAAACAAACCGTGCAATGACTTTTATAATATTCTTAGAAGAAAATCCAAAATCTTTAACACAGCCTGTGGTCTGAGTGGTCTGGCCTTCCTTCCAGGCTCACCTTGCAGCATCCCCAGTTTCTTTGCTCAGCCACATCTGCCCTCATCCACTCATCCAACGTTCTTCTGACCACTATGGATGTTTTGTGTTCATTTTCCGAGCTATAGAATTTTCTTCCCCACCTTCACACTCCTCCTACTATCCTTCAAACCTCAATTCAAGTTCTGTGTCCACAGAACAGTCTTCAGTAAAGCCTGCTCTGTAACTCCAGCTACATATATACCCACCCCATCTGGCCAGGTTCCTTGGTACATTCTCTCAGAATTGAGTTTTACTTATAACTGTCATCAGATCATGGGGGTATTTGATTAATGTCTCACTCACTAGTGCTCAATTAGTTTCAGCAGAGCAGGCATCCTGGTTTTGCTCACTGTTGTTCATATATCAGCTAGCACAGCGCCTCCTACATGGCAAGTGTCCTGTGCTGCATGAATGAATGGATGAGTCAGTGAATGAATAAATGGATGAATGAATGAATTTCCATACCAAAGCCCCTCACGTATGCTGCTAAGGACTTAATTAGGTTGTTAAAAGGGCATAGCCAAACAAATAAGTAGCCCAGAACTGTTCTTGGTACCTATTCCAGGCAAATTTTGATTCATTTCTCATTCTTCTTAAGAACATTTGAATAACTTTGAAACAGCAGAAGATCAAATGCTGAATAGATCCAATTTTAGTTTTGACCTTTTTTTGGAAAGAAAAGTAATGTCTTCTTCTTTGTACCACTGAAAGTGTATTTCTTGACGGGCTTATAACTGCTGACAGTTCTGCCCCCACTTCTCTTATTAATGGAATTTCTCCCATTTAATATTTCACTTCACTTATCCCAAACTCAAGAACAGGACCCATAGTTAAAGAAAAAGAGAAGTAGCATGTAAATGCACAGAATAAGAAGCAGAAAGAACTCATGTGCAGCAATTCACATTGTACGGAGCCCTATTTAAACTACTCATAGAGTCTGCTAAATGCCATCCAAGGAAAAGGCTCAAAGACTCCAGAGAATGCTTTTTAAGAGAATACAGGATAGGGAATGTTTCTAATCCATTCTTGCTTGGTTTTTCAGGGGTATCCTCATGTTTAGTGTCATAAAAACCCTCTGGCAAGTAGCTGGGGTTGGTATCAAAAAACAAAACAACAAGAAAGCAAAAAAAAAAAAAAAAAGGGTTATGTAGCCAGACACTGGCCCATCCAGGTAAGAGTAAAGTAAAAATTCATCTTTGGAAGCCCTTCCATTTTATTTTCTACCACAGAAGGATTCCCAGCCCAAATGCCAGGGCTATTTAATTTTTATTCTGTCAACGAAAGTCATCTTGCTTTTCATCTTTCTCTGAGAACAGTGAGCCAGTCTTCCATTTTACCCACTGACAGGTAACTCCAAGAAAGTAATTTAAAATTTTAATGGTTGAAACTTGTTTTTTCTTGTTAAAACACAGTATCAAAGGCAGCAATGCAAACTCAAACCATCTACCCTAATGCGTGACATGGTGCCCTGAGCCACGGGCTTAGGTCTTCTGAAATTGTCATTGTTTTCAAAACACAAAAACATTTTCCACTGGTGCTGAATTTTTCTACTTTTTATTTTTCTTAATGTTCACTTGAATTATAGCTTAATAAGAAGTATTCCGTAAGCAACTCACCTGTTAGAACTCCGATTTGCACACAGAAGACAAAGACACACCAGAGGTCTGACTTCATGTTTGCCAGAAGCAGCTGCAGTCCTTCCCGCCAGTGCTCAAAGGTGGCAGTGAATTTGTGTTCTCGGTTGTTTTCTATTTGCTAGAGAGGAAGTGGGTTTTGTGGAGGTTGATGTAGTGTCACATTTACCATCAACTCAGAGGGGCACAGTTGTACATAGAGAGCTAGCACAGCGCCTCCTGTGTGGCAAATGCCTAGTGATGCATGAATGAATGGATGAGGGAATGAATCAATGAATTTCCATTCCAAAGCTATTTGTGTGTCATTGATGCTGCTAAGGACTTCATAAGCCATTGATGTCAGTGTTCTATAGGGGGGCATTATTGCTTATGGGGTGGACTGTTCAATCCATGGATTATTATTGATCATGAAAACAAGTGGAAAGGCCTGGTTAAAGAGAGAGAGACACAGACAAAGCCTATCCTTTTCAGAAGCCCTTCACTCAAAAACATCTTTAGATTAATAGCTATCTGGGACAACGGGATCCACAAACACCCACATGATGAACAAGACTTCCAGTTTGATACATTTCTGTCTTGATCTATTTGCTCCAGAGATGAAAAAGCCTTTGAAATAGGACAGGAAATAAAGTTATTGAAAAAAATTGATTTTTAAATCTGGAAGAAGAACATCCCAGGAACTTGAGAAATAATATTTATGTGACATTCATTGTAGATTATAAGTCTCCAAATGATGCAGTCATATTTTAACTGACTTAAAGCCTGCTCTGTATGTTACAACAGTCTACAGATACTGGGAGAAACTTGGACAGGATCAGATGAAGCAAGACAATTACAAATCCTGGTATACCTCTCTATCCCTCAAGGAGCTAAAGAAGACAGTAGCAACAACAACAATAATGATAATTTTATTCATAGATGCTTAATATTTTACATGAAATACATCTTAATACAAAACATATAAAATCTAAATGTAGAGGGGTTGAGAAGATAGCTCAGTGAATAAGAGTGCTTGTTCATCAAGCCCAAGGACCTGAGTTTAAAACTTCAGCACCTGTGTAAAACCTGGGCATGGTTGTGTGTGCTTGCAACCCTAGCATAGGAAGGGAGAGACAGGTGGATTCTGAGAGCTCACATGCCAGCCAGCCAAGCCCAACTGGTGAGCGTTTGGTTCCCTTAGAGACCGTGTCTCAAGGCAGTGAGGCAGAGAACCAGTGAGGAAGACACTCTCAGTGTCTTCACCTGGCTTCAGCATGTGCACATGCACCCACATACTCACCTAGCTCATACACCACACACACACACACACACACACACACACACACACACACAAATTTCAATATAGAATAATGTACGTATATCATGTACAAAGTATGCCATAAATATAGTTAATATACTTACGTTGTCCTACACGATTTTTTATATATGTTCATATTATTATATTA